CAAATTGAACATCGCGGTTAAACACATACGCCACGACGGCTGACATGTGCAGAGTAAATCCCAGACCGGGAGATACGATCGATATTGTTGCTTCCGATATCACCGGACCAATTATCAGAATAGCCTTTTTTGCGGCGCGATTCAGTTACATGTTTGAAAATAGAAACAATGTATATCCGCACTACAAAAAATGCCGCGGAATATAAACGTTTGCTATTTGATGATGGTTAAGGAAATAGATCGGACAGTTGCTGTTGCAAATACTTTCTCGTCATTTATCGCTTTAGCAAACATACGTTGAAATACAAATTCGCATTTGTTCTATTCTTTCCTGTTTAGATTAAGCTAATCATGGCTCCATTACAGAAGTATTGCTGACAGAAGCGAATTGAAAGTAACAAATCATTTGTTGCGGGTACTAATATTTTGTTTAATTAACGATTAATCCGCGCGACACAACACCGTTAATAATACGATTGTACGTAAATGGTGGAGAAACGACTAAAAGTTTCAATAAAGTGACACGTAATTAGTACTAGCGATCCAAGAAAATTCTTAACACAGACGCGTCAAAATGGAATTATTCTTTGGTATACAAATAATACGTAGATAACATTATTATTTATGCATATAGATATGCATAAATATTATTTATGCATACATATTAATATCTTGATTAGAAAAGAGAAAAAGTTTCAACGCGAGAATGTGAGAAATATACAGGAAAAGCTTCTATAAAGATAAGCAAATTATTGATTAGTTGCTAAAACGCAAGGATAGTAAAATGGCTGGAACAAAAGTCTTGTTGACAACACTGAGTAATGATGACGACATTTTGATAACCGATTGTGCGTGAGTAGCGCAGGATTATATCATCGCAAGATTAAAGACGAAGATAAGCGGGTAAATGAAGCTTCGTCGGAGCGCGTGACTTTGGAACTTTTCCTTGGACGTTAGTGCAGTCCAGGAAATTTACAGCGGAAAATTCAGAAACACGCCGCCGCGTACGCCAATGATGAGAAAACGTTCAGAGCGGACTCGGTTCGATCGTTGATGCAGTTTTTGGATTACTCACGCGCACATATCGACGGTTATAAAGCTAGGTTCGTGCTGGCAGCGCTGTACCGCGGAAAATCCATCGGTAATTCCCAGGCCGGAGTCACTAAAGGAGGTCGCGTCGTGCCTTAAGAGAGCGCTCTGTTCCTCATCAGGCCGAGTGGTCCGCTCAATTTTGTCGATGACGTCTCGATAACGCTCCGGTAACGCGTCTGATCGAGTTGCCGGGACTCGTCGATTATATCGAATCTCGTTAATCGCCCCTGCGCGACTCCAGAACGACGGCGCAGAGGTAGGGTAAGCGCGCGAGCTTTCGCGGAGCTTGCAGACTACCGCCATCTGGCGAAAAATGTCGGAACGTTTTTACAGGTACGTAAATTTTAGAGTCGCGCGCGCAATTTCTCTCTCATGGTCGCGTCCCCGAAGCAGCCTGCGCGCGCTCCCCCTCGCAAACTTCGCCGCGCGTCGGTACAAACAAATTGATTAACATTGCGTTCGAGTCTCCTCAGCGTTTTAATAAACGCGGAATTTTCAATATCCTCCGAGAATACATCGCTGTACGAATGTTACCGCGGTGCCATCACGCAGATATTTTCACGTCGCTTGTCCTGGATAATTGACGCGAACACGAGTCGAGTGGGATCCTCTTGAACGAGTCAGTTCGGAAAATATGTTTAGAGAAAACACTCGGAGCCGTATGTGTGTTTAACTTTATCGAGTAGTTTTGCGCTCGCGCTTAAAAGCTTACGAAGTTTGCCGGGGAGGGTGGTGAAGTGTGCTCACGCATAGAGTTTACTACTTAAGAGGAAGTTCTCCTCTAGATACTCAAAAAAATAGAAAGTTCTTATGAATCCTTCTCGAAAAAAATCAGTAGAAGATATCAGTATTGGGTCTTGAGCATATTTATTATTGTTTTAAGCATAAAAAATTAGTTTTTTATTTAAAAAAAGACTAAAACCTGTCCAGATTTGTTTGTACTAAACGCTTATCTGAATACTGAATACTGAATTGGTATATTTACTTACTTCTTTAAAAACAATTCGTACGTATCTCTTGCCTATTCAATTTTTGCTATTTTTGCCTATTCAAGCCAAAACCTATAACTCCATTAAGCCGCGTCGTTGTGCTCGTGCTCAAAAAATACAAATTTATTTTTATACTAAAGCAAGATGAAGCTTTTTGAACAAAAATAAACTGCTTTAGAAAATTTCACAAACTTTAAAAAATATGAAATCTTTTTTACATAGGAATATTAAATTAATATTCCATAGCTTATTTCATAGCTTTCAGAGCTTTTAAGACTTTTGAAGCAGTTTCTCTTGTTAAAAACATTTCTCATTCCACACTTTTTAATTATTTACTAAAAGTTAGTTAGTTTTCAAATTATAATCAAAAAATTTAATTGCCCCCAGATTACTTTGCTTAGTGAAGTAATACTGAAGTATATTACTGAGAAAGTAAGGCAAAATAGCAGTTAAATTTTTTTATTATAATTACCAAACATTTGGTTGATCCCACTTTAATCATATTCTAGTTTCTAATCTTTTTTTCAGTGCACATGAAATTTTATCTTGATATCTGTAATAGTTCTCGAGCTATGAGACAAAGGGACATTCATATAAGACAAACTGAATATCTCCTTTTTTTTGAAGTGAGAAAACGCGGTTAAGAAAATATAGTCGAGATTGAGAATAAATTTCGAATGCTCTTGCGTGATTTAGCTTTCTGATTCGGACCGACTCGAATTTGAATCCTCCTAATTTCAGGCTACATCTGATGCTCGACTATGCGGTGATGTTACATCGAACCAATTAATCCGGTTCAATTAATCCGGGAATGAGAGAAGATCTGAAATGCGAGCGATATAGATGCATATTCGATTTCCGTTTTCCATTTGCCGATCCATCTAATCTACGCTCAAGATCTCCATGTAAAATAAATGTCGCGCTGCGAAAAAAAGTTGCGTGAGAACCGTTCAATATATATCAACTCTGTTGAGATTTGCCATAAATTTTAATTTTATAAACCGCAGTCGGTGTCTCCCGTTCCCACGGCGAGTGCCAACAACGGGGTCCTTAAATATTAAATAAAAACACGTAGCCACTTCGCTTAATTCGTTGTATATATATATATATATATATATATATATATATATATATATATTTTATCATCTCGAAATTTACACAGAATATATCTCTCTCCAGTGAAACTGAGACGATACTAAAGAAGAGACAAGTTCTTTGCGCGAGCAATCCGCGATCGAGAGATTAGTGATGTCTATCGCTTTAGACTCTACGACTGTGCGAATTTAGTATTGCGCTGCTCTATAAATCTCACCAGAAAAAGAAAAGAAAAACAGATCCACGAAGTGCACTGGAGAAAGGATTTTGTTGTTGAAACGAAGATTTGGTACACCGTACTCAAATTTTTCTAAATAAAAATTAGTTAACCCTTTCGCTGTTAATTTTGTTTTTTAAAGGTACAGTCTTTTTTGCTTTTACTTCATTAAGTACATTAATATAATGTAGTTTAGCAGAAAATTAATGTAGTTTTAGCAGAAAAAATTAAGTTTCATGTTCGGCGCTAAAAGGATAGGACGGAGATACTGGAATTTCCCACTGGAATTTTTAGAAGGGCATATTTACCCCAGCGAGACAAAAAGTAGAATGATAGCTGATGCTTTTTTTTTAATGTTTTTTGAATGTTAAAAAAACTGTTTAGTCAATTGAATAAGATTATTATTAATAGAAAGAGAAAACATATATGTCCCGTTAGTCGCAAAATGCTTTAAATAGGTCGCATAATGCAACCAATGTTTAATAATTGCGACGTTTAATCACCGCCTGCGTGTGTTTTGCTTTCTCATTAATGCATTCTACTTGACGAGCAGAAAACATGGTAGTGCCAACTAAATCGTATGCGCCGAAAATATTTTAATCTCAAACACAAAAATAATTTTTTCAATGCGCTTCCTCCAGTCGAGAAATAATACAATTTTGTATAATACTCAAATTATGAGGATCGCTTGTTATCGGATTAGCAGCTATAACACACGCGATAATTACTCGCGGGAATTTGCACCGAAGCATTAATTACGACCAGAGCAGCACGATTCTCCTTCCCCTCACTTCCTCCCTCTCTCTCTCTCTCTCTCTCTCTTCTCCTCTCGTTCTCTCAATCTCCTTAGGAGAACGAGGAGTTAAACTATTCGTATTTTCGTGCCAGAGCACGTAGCTATTTCTAACGGGCGCCGATGTTTCAGGTGTAAATAGATCGTGAAGAAAATCGAGGAAAACATCCAAACTATTCGACACAGTCGCGCACGGGGGGTACAAAACTTTGCGTCGAGGTGTCTATCGGCCGCTCGACCAAAAATAGAAAATCAAGATGCATCTGAGAAGTTTGCGAGCCGGAATTCCAGAGACCCGTGAAAAGTATGAGCCGCTATAATCATCGGATAATTTCCTCCCGCGGAATATTCCTCTTCGTTTCTTCGATCCTTTCTCTCTTCTTCTCTTTCCCGCCCTCTCTCTCTCTCTTTCTCTCTCTTTCTCTCTCTCTCGCTTCATCGCTCGCACGCTCTCGGCTCTATTGTTACGCCAGCAACTACTGGCACGCTGATTTATGCATCTTTCGCAAGTCGCGTTCCTACCCACCGCGAAAGTGGTTTGTATCTGCGTCGAACGCGCGTTCCCGTTGGCGTATGATTTTGTTTATGATACGGTAATTGTTAATGAGGATGCAGAGATTAGATGGAACATGGGCGAGAATGACGGTGAATTCAGCAGGATGGATATTCGTCATTTAAGCGCAAAATCTATCGACATGTGTGCGATCAAAATTTCATTACACAGTTGTGTAACAGTTGTGTAACACAGTTGTGTACACAGTCGAATTTCCATAAATCAATCTGTTGTGTGTTTCTTTTGAACCTACACTGCTTCTGGATTGCGCCAAGCGAACGTAATGAAATTTCGCGCTATAAATCCCGATCGCATTTACGTCATATACACTTCTCTGTGTGTGCGACTCGCATGACGGAACACATAACGATCAAGATTCCTGAGTAATTAATCTATAGTCAATTTACCGTTCGTGACATCCCCGTTATTTGATCGCATTTACTTCGATCAACGTCAATATCTCCCACGCACCGAATTACCTCCCTTGAGAGAAGAGAGAAGGAAAAGAGAAAGAGACTGAGAGATAGTAGAAAATTACATCATCGAACCACTTTGTAAAATATTAATTACTTACTTTACCTGTTCTTAAACGAGATCGATTTCATATCTTTTTATGCTAATCATACTGTATATTAAGGTACCTCGGCATTCAGTTTATGTTTTTATATATTTGCGCTTATATGAGATATTTTTTAAGATATTTTTTAACCAAAACAATATGAAATAATTTGGATATAATATTCGTGGTAATATTGAAAAAAAAAACTAATCTTTCCGAACGTACTTATTGCAATTAGAATTTGTCGAAAATATATTAAATAATATAAATCTATTTTAACTATAAACCCTATAAACTCCTAAACCGTTTGATTGACCAGATTTTATCGTTACTCTCCATAATTTTCCTGCGGAAGATATGAACTATCACGAATATACGTGCACACTCCACCCTCTCTTAATTTCATCTTATTGACTTTGTGATAACTCAGGCAACGCTTTTAAGTTAGTACTAAATAAGTTTTCCTAAAGTTGAAATTTGATTTATAACTTATCCAGCAAGTCTGTAAGTGAACTTTTTTTTTTAATTAATATGCAATCTGCATATTATTATTACTGTCTTTCTCTACATAAATTCGACGTGTATATTACCTAACGACCGCGGATATTCGGCAGAATTTCGGAGTAATCAATCGACATCCGATCTATTTGCCGAAATCAACGTACTACAGTGGAAAGCGGCGCGTTTCGAGTGTTTGTCATGCTATTTGAAACTCCGATCGAAAGGCCTTTGAATTATTTGTCTTCCTAGCGTTCCTTTGTTCACGTTCTTATTAAGGACCCTTCGTTTCCTAAAGCTGCTGAGACGGGTTGATGAGGAGATACGAGATATAAAAGTACTTTATAAGAGAAGACACAATAGCAATCGCTTTATGCGAATTGTAATTAAAAGCTCCTGCGTCTATAACGACTTCCGTTCATCTTCATGTAATAACGAGGGATCTCATAGAATAATTATCCATTAATACTTCGACATAGAGAGAGTTCTGAGAATCATATCCGACAGCTGTAATGAGAAAAAGAGAGATGAAAGTGTGTATCGTATAGAAAAAGAGCATTATACTAGGAAACTATTTAAGCACAGTCAAGAAATTATATTCAGTATACATTTTTATGCCTTGCCTCAAGCATATTGCGAGGTTTCTTTGACTTTCATTACTTTGTCGTTTATTTCTTTCTTTTGGTCACGTGAACAAGGGCGAAATCCAAACCTACCATATTGTGCATTCCTCTCGTTTCTTCTGAGCAAATTGTCCTTTTTCCCGAGCCTGAAGGGGAAATCACCGCGAGAAGCGCCTCCTCCGCGAATAAGCTTCGTGCGAACTTTTTCGCCGGAATTCTGTCCCACGGGGTAACTTTGCGTTCAATCGATCGATTTCACCAGCGACTTGTCGTTGTTAGCGATGGAGACCACGCGCTGACCCTCCTCCAGCAAGTTCGGGGCTATTCGAACAAACGACATCGCCTTATCGCATTTCTATTCTGCAGATTGACGCCTACGACATCGCGCTACAGAGCTCAGATTGATGCACGTTATCGATTGGTTACTTGGAACGCAGTCTTTCAAAGTGTGCCTAACTTAATTTCTCTTTTCCTATCTCGACGATGGGCCGGCATCGGACAACACATCGAGTTTATATCGGAAAAAATAATCCACCTTTTGTTTCCTTTACGTATACGTGGGAGATTGAGCCAAATAATAACACTTGTTGTATAATAATCAATTATTAATAATTAATCAATTATTAATTATTAATTATTAATTGTAATAATAATACTAGTCATTGTTATCATCAACACGATAATTAATAATAAATATTTAATATTTTGCTAATAATAAATCTCATTATAACTTGTTTTCTTGTGTTAATATAATTTCCTCAGCAATTACATTAAATTCTTATATAATTATTATAACTTGATAAATGCACTCGTTCAAGTTTCCAGGCTAATTGCAGATATTTATGAGGAAGTAAAAGTTACACAACGTTCTCTTAAATTTTCTTTCTCTTTCTTATATAATTGCGCGCAATCCCCGCGGGCGGTTCTTAAAATCGAGGGAGGGCGCGCCAATTGTTCGTTAATGCGGAAAAATGCTCATTACTGTTAACGGTGAAGTTGTCAGGTGGAAACATTAAACTTTCACGAAGAAGTAATGGAAATGTCGATCGACCTTGGATTACAAAACAGGATCCATCTCTATCGACAATGAACGTTTGACCTGAAATCTCAAAGTGGTTTTTTCCAGCGTGGAGACTCCGAGTATTTTTTCCCTGAAAAATAACCGCTGAAAGGTTTCGTACAAAGTTGAAGGAACAGTAACCCGATACATTTCTATCGAACAGCGAAGCAAAAGAAACTGATTACTCGACCTTAGTTGTAAACAACAGTACTAGAAATACATAGCGAGTGTTTTAATAGCACATTCCAGTTCTTAAAATTCCTAAAATATAAAAAGCACAAATAAAGCAAAAGGATAACGAACTGCTGCAAAATATCCATTTATTCCTCGATTACAAAATCCTACAGTAATTTTCACCATAAAATTCGTGTCTTTTTTCTGAGTGTGTAATAACGAAGTAATCAAAAGATATCATCCATCTCGAGCCGATTTTCGCAACTGCGAATGAAGCAATGCGATCTCTTTTTTAGTAGCCCGCTCCGAGAACCGCGAGCGAATCAATCACGGAGAGGCCGCTTGCCATTCTCGATCGTCCATCAAGTAGTAGCTCAATCGTACCGTGCTACGATCAGACGATAGTATTGCGACCAAGTTCTCCGTGTGTACCGATACGAATCTTCTCCTCCCTCCCCCCCCCCCCCCCCCC